TTACTGTTCGCCTTTGCCCCTGCAGGCAAAGCCTAGTGCCCGGCAGCCCCGGCGACCCGCACAGCGGATTGCAGGCAGACAGCCGCTGACCATTGCTGACCGGTTTGGTGGTCAGCATCTCCCGGAATCTCCATATCTGACTCAGACCCTCAACCTCAAGGCCAACTTTTCGAGTCCGCCTCAATCGCGACCTTAGTCTCCAAACCTGACATTGGCCATAAGCCCTGAAGACATGCAGCACTAACAGCGTAAAACCGTGAACACCCAGCCTCCTTGGGAGCTTCCGCCAAGACAGCCACGCCTCCCACCAGAGCCCAGTTCAAGGCTTCAGAGCGGTCAGGGCTTAGAGTCTCAGGCCCTGCAAAGCTTCGGGTAAAGGGCGCCGGTAACGAAGTGATCAGGAAGGGTTGCAGAATTCTTCTGAAAGTGCTAGTTGACAAGGCCCGCATCACGTAAGTGAACAGGTCGCAACATGCTCCAAAACTCAACCATCTCAGGCGTGCAGGGCCCTCAGCCCGAAATCGAGGGCCTCGCGAGGTCGAACTCAATAGGGATCCCCCGGCAAAATGAGCTCTTGACAGTCTCCGAAATCCTGGGATTTTTGTTACAAGACCATGACAAACCCTGGGGCCCACACCCAAACCCTGGTTCCTAGTTACCCTGAAGGCCTGTGGCCCTACTTCAAGGATCAGCGGGCTTTGATGAGTAAGGTGAGTAAATAAAAATTGCAACTACTTGTAGCCCTCGCCATGGTTTCTTAGAACCCACTCGTCACGCCCCCGGATCCCTTGAGTACTCCGCCTTCCGACTCTGGAGGTAGTGTGGCCGCAGCAGAGATGGCTGCTGCCGTCGTGGTCTCTGTCGGCCGTCCCTGGTGGGTTCTGAGCCGCGGGTGCGAGGTCACGATCTCACGAGGTTTGGAAGGTCCGATGTCTTGAAGTGGTGTCTTCTGATTCTAGCGTTCTGTCATCAGTGCTGTTGGGTGCCAAGATCCTCAGCTGCAAATCGAATGAGCAATTCTGCAGGAACCGAGGCAAACAATTCCAGAACAATGCCAGGATCTGGCTCATGCATGTGCACCGTGGGACTCATCCAATTTTGCTCACTGCTTCATCGACACACGTCGCAACAGGAACGGAAGTATCGCGGGTTTAATATATTTAATTTAAGAACCTAGGTTTTACTCGCTGTCCAATGGAAGCTCCGGGCCGATGTGCCTCGAGCGTTTCTGCCAGCAGACCTGACATCACTAGTCGGCACGTTGAAAGTCGCGGCATTGGAGCTGTTAGGTTGCAAAATGCTTTAGGGTCCAGCATCGTGAGTCCTATAGGGCAGTGGCAGTCCCCACTTTGTGGTCGAGGAGTTGGGACTCAGCAACTCTGCCGATCCCCAGAGTTCAAACCCGTCGAAGAGTTCTCCCATCACACCGACACATTGAAGCATATTGGACTGAACTTCGCTATGACAATACTGCAGGTAACATGGCCTTCTGCTGCATTAGACTGTGCTCTACGTGGTCTTGACAAATTTCGAAACAGCTCCAAAGCGCGTCGAAGTTTCCTACAATCCATCCCGAGCCCCACCACCTTTAGCTCTAGACTCTAGACATCTCTATAGATCCTGAAACCCCGAACTCTGAACCTTTCACCCTCTCTTTCATTTAGTAAACTAACTCACACAAACTCCATATGAAAAACGCAACAAATCCGCGGACTGGGCACATAACTTCTAGACGCGCTTCAGAGCAAAAGAAACAAACCGTCGGGGCAAGGCCCTAAGCTTCGCGGGCACGGCACGACATTCAATTCGTGGTATGGCGGTGGCCCGCGGGGACTCGCGTCGAGGAACCGAACAGCAAGCTCTCCAAGCGAGAGCACAACTTTTTGACAACAGACCCTGCACGAGGCACTTGGCAAACTCTGCCGGAAGTGAGCTGCGACCCCTACAAACTCGGAAATGAGCCGAGATGTTTTGAATCCGGCTGCAAATGCCAAACACCAATCAGTAATGCCGCACATCGCTTGACTAAATCTGCTGAACATGAGCTGCCACCCTGAACATGGTCGGCACTAGAAGCAGAACAACGGAACTGTATGCAAAACCCTCTGACATAATATGTTGGGACTAATCGGTCGATGGGTTTTTTGCCTAGCGACAAAATTCCTTTTCGAGTGATTCCTTCGCCGAGCCCTTCGGGAACCTTAAACCTCTGAACCCCAAGCCCTGAAGCCTAATTGAGCTCTGCATCTTGCAACAAACCCTAAACCCTAAACCCTGAACCCTGAACCCTAAACCCTGAACCCTAAACCCTAAACCCCTAAACCCTAAACCCCTAAACCCCTGAATCCCTAAACCCCTCAACCCCTAAACCCTAAACCCCCCAATAAGGTGCAGCTCCAGGGACCCCCCGAGTCGGAGAGCTGCAAGACTGGGGCCGAGCGAGGCGCGATGGCCTCCCAGGGCTCGGCCCAAGTCAAACTCGCTTCGATGCTTCGGGGGGGTTTGGGGTTTAGGGGCTTTAGGGGTTTAGGAGTTAGGGGTTTAGGGGTTTAGGGGTTCGTCTGGTGATGAATTTATGCTTGCATGTATGCAATAATCTTTGAAAATCACACCAGCATGGATGTCTGCTACGGGTAGCCCACAAACAACTGAACCGTTTACAAGCATGTATGTACATATACATACTGTACATACATATCTGGTATGAATGCAACGGATGGGTGTTGGGTGTGTGATATCCATGCTTGTGCATGTAGGTGTGCCACGCTGCCACGCTCACAACAATCGTGTGTGTGTGTGGCACCGTCCGATCTCTTTGATGCCAGGACAACCAGACGAAGCTGCTCTGGTGACGGATTTCTTGTGCGCGCATGTGCTGTGGAAACGAGGCCGGCCCACAGAAGTCCATGGTAAGTGTGACCCACGAGGATGATTCCTTCAAACTTTCATCCACAAGTCATGGCCGAAGCATCTACAAGTTGCAAGGCACTGAGCTCGCGGGAAGCCTGGAAGCCGTAAATCATAGATCCTAAACTCTGAACCTCTTAACCCTAAGCCTAAATGTGGAGCCCTACAGTAGTCGTCATAGCTCTTATATGTGTCGCATATCCTAGGTAACACGCTTAGGAGAATCCCCACAAAACCATACAAGGCCCTTGTGAAACCTTCAGAAAACCTAAGACAACGATTCTATGTAAACCCCACAGCATGCCATTAAACTTATAAAGCCCTGATCAAACCATACCCTAAACCCCACACCCCCCAAAACCCTACACCCTAAACCCTATACCTTCAACCTTCCCTTGCAAAAAATCCTTACACAAAAACCGTCACATCTCGAACCAAGGAGGCCTCCTCGGTCGCCGTTATCAAAATCGCTCGTTGAAGCGCATACATGAACTTCCTGCCATAGGGATATATATATATATATAGGCTACAAGTACCCGCAAAAACGCTAAAGGTTGAAACTTTCAGCAACAATGACCCTTTATGTTCTAGGTTGGTGCCGAAAGGCCTGGGTTTGCCGGGTTTAGCGGCTCAGTAAGTGTGTCAGGAGCAGGAGATGTCCATTGAAACGCCCCGAGTTCGAGTGAAAGCAAGGAGCTTAACATCCTTAGAAAGCCAAGACAAGCAACCCTCAGTTGCTTTGCATGAGTGATGACACGTTCTTTCAGAGCCCCCAATACCAAATGCCCCTGAACCTCCATGCAAAGCTGCACATGCAGCAATTTCAGATGCGTGACCACAAGCTGACACCCCCTCCGGTCTTGAATGCCCTGCTCGCCGAAAGCCTGCGTCCTCAAACTCCCAAGCCTCAGTTAATTCTGACTCTATATCACCCTAAGTTCTAAGCCCTACTGTCAGCGCTGAATATCGAAACCTAAACCCTAAGCCCTAACTCCTAAGCCAGATCCTGGTAGACTTGTAGCTCGTCCGCGGTTGCGCGAGAAGCTCACAAAGTCTCTGAGTGGTCCAGGGAGCACCTCGCAGCTCTCAAAATGGCGTTGAAGCTTTTATACTTATGAGGGCCTTATGTAGGTGTTTTCAAGCATTTGTCCCGGTTGCTTTAAGGGGCTTGCTATAAGGCTATCAGGATCCTTTCATGAAAGATCAAGAGTGTATGTGCTGGAGTCCCTCGTTTTCTAAACCTCTTGCGCGGGAGCTTTGCACAGAGGGCCCAAGTTAGGAACGTACCCGAGATTACAGACGAGGAGCCTCAGGGGCCTGCGTGCTTGAATACCATAATTTCAACGGTTTTGTTTTGTATCATGTATGTTTCTAGTCTAGGCTGTATACAGCATATTGCTACTATGAGTCAAGGAGTAACCCTCAAGTTGCTTGGTCTTGTGATTGCAGAAACGTAGTAGGCTTGGGGGGGTTGATGTCTGAGGTCTTTCTAGGATCTATAATAAGGGTGCTACATTGGGACTTTAAGTTTTCGGGTTAGGGTTTCGGATCGTGCGGCTACTGCCTGGAGTCCTAGAGTGCAGGGCTTACGGAGGCTTCTGAACGGCCTGCTGCATCGGTGGTTTTTCCAGCTTTGCAGGGCTAGAGAAGAAGCTTTCTCTATGAGCTCTTGAAGCTCTACCCGTAGCGACTATCTGCAAACAATCTGCCATCGTGTGAGCCCGGGCTGTCTGGCATCATCAAAAACCAAAACCTCAAGGCAAGATAAGATCATCCCTAAAACACCAAAACGCTGAAACCCTGAATATTATAAACGCTACACCCCAAGGCAAAAGCCTCGAGCGGACTCGGTTCTAGTGCTACATGTACTAGGCTTTCACATTGAATCACGGGTCATCGCATGGGACTACGGAAAACTCCCATGAATCGAAGGCCAGGGCGTGGGGCTTTCGGGGGGTTACATCTGGCTTGAAAAATCTGTACGAGTTTAAAATCTGTAGGACCGTAACAGGAAGAAAGCTTACAAAACATTGGCGGAACCTGTAAAGAGACGATGAACCCCAGAAAATAACCTCATAAGCTTAACTCAATCATCATCCCCGATTGAATCGTGCTCGAACCAACCTAAAATTTCTAGAGCCGTCTCTGCGATACACTGCTAGCATCGCACCTTCCCGTCGCGGTTCCAACAGCGACTGCTTCAATGGCTCCACAGCGCTGTGCTGGAAGGTCTCTCCTTTTCTACGATTGGGAGTTACATAATACAGCACCTAACCACTTAGGACAGGCCTTTCCGTGTACTATACGATAACCATCTGTAACCAACTATGGTAAGGAAACCGAAGTAATAGCGTGACAAATAAATCAGGCTAAGATACAACGCGATAGTTCACGTCGATACTGGTCATGCTGACAATGGCATCAGGATGTCTTCAGGGTCTCTAAAACTTTTGTGAGGGTCCGAGGGGTTCGGAAACAGGGGGATGGTTGGGGGGTTTGGAATTCAAGGTTGCCAGCCCATGTGGGCGCGTCTAATTTGGGTGGCCGAGCAACTGGCACGCGCAGGTTGTATATGTGTTTATGTATGTGTACATACATATATATACAACCTCTATCCATCTATCAATCTATCAATCAATCAATCTATCTATCTATCTATCTATATATATATATATATCAGACAGACAGGCAGACAAACAGACAGACAGACCGACCGACCGATCGACAAACATGCGTTTGCTCAGATCGCTACAAGCCGCTGTGCCGGTGCGTTGAATTACTATCAAGAGGTTCCGGCCACAAGCTGCGATGTCTGGGTAGCTCATCGATTCCACAGTCGTGCATTTGGCTCAGCGAACCCTAAGCCCCAAGGTTCTGAACCCCGCGATGCCAAAACAAACCTGAAGGCCTTACGCCTAGTAAGCGCTCATCAAGTCCTTACAGAAACAGCTCTGCACTTGCTCGATCCTGCTGACTATACAGTACGGTATAAGGTCAGAGGCCTACAACTGCAATGCCTGTGACGACTGGGCCCGGCTCCTTCACTGAGAGTCAGGTCTGGCGCGTCGCGCCAGAAGTCTGTCAGGACCGTCTCCATCTTCTTGGCCTCCGTGGCCGAGCTTCAGCTGCTGCGGGGTCCAGGACCAAATTGTAGCATGCTTGCTTTTCGCTGCTGATCGCATGAGCGCACAAGAGGCCTGTCCGGCAGCCGCGATATGTTGTGAGGGCTACTCGGCAAACTTTGGCCAGCCCGTGGTATGGCATCTATATGCATCTATACTATACAGCACATGATTCATGCACCCATCCCGCGTCTAGCGAACGGGTGCCGGCAAAACGGCTGACACTCGGTGGCTGTACAAAACCGAGTCCAGTACCAAAAGAGCTTCCACCAGCGGTTGTGGTGGCTGTAGCTGCAAGGGCTATCTTGCAGCGCTCAGACAAGATTATGTCTCCAGCTGGGCGGATCACATTCATCAGGAACGACATCCTGCCCTTGGCCTCAGAGCTCCCAACTGTCGAAGACCTGGGCTGAAGCCTTAATCTCTGCCTTGGACTGCATGAAGCTTGGACCCAAGAACTTCTGCCGCCCGTCCCTTCCTTTCTTTGCTTGGGCGAAAGCAGTGTCAGTACCTGGCTTGCACTGCGAGTACCATTCGTTATCCACAACGCAACTCCAGCCCTCGTCACAGCAGGTCGGACCGTTGTGATTTCGTCCCCCACACTGCTTCCAGGCCTTGGCGCAGGACGGCTGTGTGGCTGTTGCTGTCGTGGTTGGCTTCACTGTTGCGACTGGGGTTGTTGTTAACGTTGTAGTCGTAGTCGTGGATGCCGTAGGCGGTGCTGGTCCGGTAGTTCCAGGATACACGGACTGTGTGGAACCGATTTCTCCAATTGCCACATTGGCAAAGGTGACGTAGCCCTGCGGATGCTTGCTGCGTACATTTCGCGGAGAGCTGTCTTCCCCGCCCGGGCACATGCCGCGCAGGACGCCTGGTTCCCCACGCTCCCTGTCTTCAGGGTAGTGAGAGTCCAACCACATCATGTGAACATCGATGTCATCCCAAAGGGAAAATGCCGCAACGTGCCCGCGGCTCAAGGACTCGCCCATGGCCTTGTTGCCACCTTTCTCCTGAAAGTCGTTCTGGTTATCGAAAAGCTCCTTCATGTCCTTGCACGATTGGTCTGTGATGGAGTCTGGATAGCTCGGTGCCTTCGGAAGGATCGTGATGGATGGGCTTGCCACCGCACGGCCGTCCTGCACGTAGAAGCGGCGAATTTCAGAAAGATCGCCAGAGTCAGTACCATCCGTAGTGAGGAACTGCGTCACGACGGTCATAGGCCTGCTAGAGTCGACAGCCCATTGCGCTCCCGGACCATAGAACGTAGTGTTCTGGTTCCGGAAAGGGTTGATGTCGCAGCCATCCTTGTCACAAACTCCGTCGTATCTCTCACCGCTGTCATTGTCTCCACACTCAGTGCCGCTGCACATGTACTGACCCGGGGAGTCAATGTCACACGGGTGTGGGGTATAAGCCGTTGCCATTTTGTTCGCCTCCCAAATGTCCATCTCTGCACAGCATGCACCATAGTGGCCAAGGCCCATGGTGTTGCTGAAGTCTTTGGGATGAGGCTTCCAATTCTTCGAGTTCGCCTTGCCGTCAATGAACTTCACATCGTGAGGGCACTGTGCATCACAGTATCCGGTACCATACTTGGCACCTGCGGCGTTGTAGCCGACGTCCTTGCCGCCATTGGCGGCCATCTCGATGAAGTACATCGCCCCATTCATGCCGCACTCCACTTCTGAGGAGTCCACGTCCATGGCGAACTCCCTGTTCTTCAGCTTGAAGAGCTTGTAGTTGTCGTCATCTTCCAAGAGAAAAAGGCGAGATCCCACGTTGGATCCGGTCACAAAGTTGAGGCGAACACCCCCCGGCACTCGAGTGATACCATAAATTCCCTCGTACTGCTCTTCATCCACTGCCTCCAGTGCACAGTCCTGTGCACAAGCTTCCGGATCCGCGCAGATGCTTGTGTCCCACTCGTTGCCGTCATAGCAATTCTGGTACCCCTCGGTCGTGTGGATCCAGCGCCAGTTGGCGTCCAGAACCAGCTTGTGTTCCTTGGTGGTGCATTGCCCTTTGGAGCATTCCTTCACTGTCATAGTCGGGCTTCCTTCGGACTTGAGAGTGCCAGGCTGCTGCGCAGCACACAATGGGAGCAGGAGCAGAAAGGTGCAAAGAGCCATGGCAGTTCGTGGATAGGGTCGCTCTGGCCGTTCAGCTTCAAAACGTCTGCTGTCAGACATGACTTCATCCTGGCAGTAGCATGTAGCCAGTTGTTTTCACACTAACTATGAATCATTACCCATCCTCAGTGTCTGCGCAGATGGGCCAGCCAGAGGATGTTGCTTGAGCTTCCGACCAAGAGTATTCGCAGGGCATCCCAGGGGTAGCACGCAGCCTCATCGGACACCCAGTATGAGCTTGGCTGAAACCAGTTGACAAAAAATCTGAGACGCTGGCCGCACCTGTTTCTGCCAGATTGCGAATGATTCCTGCGCTGTGCGTTCAGCGCATTTTGCTTCATCAGCACAGGGATTTGAGTGGCATGCTTCCCCGATGAAGTAAACCTTGCTGTGAACTGATCCTTCGACATCTTGACCTCAGACTCTTCCCACAGAACCGTTTAAGATGCTGGGGGCAGCCACCCGAAACTTTCGAACCAAGCCCTAAATCTGAAGATGCAGTGAATCGCTTGGACTTTACGCTGTAGCAGCCCAAACACCGGACTAAAGCCCTCAACACAATATCCTGGCCACTGAAATCCGATGAAAAGTTGGACCCTACATGAATTTCAAAAGCCCGAGCTACAGATCAGCCGCTGGGGCTTGACGGTCAAATGCCAGTTAAGGCTTGGGTTCAAAAAAACTCCAAGCCCCAAATCCTGGGTTGGAGCAGGCGGAAGCGGAAGGCCTCGCAAAACCCCACCTTTTTAAAGCTTGCACGCGACGCTGCTGGGTCCCGAATGCCTGCCCTGCCTGAATTAGAGCATTGAATCAAGCCCCATCTCGAAAACCAGTGAATAACAAAGAGTACATCATTAAGCCCACATGCCCACGAGAACTCCAAATAAATCCCCATAGCCTAAAGCCGTGAGCTATGAAATTCCACACCCACGACTCCGGTTGCCTTCCAACTCGTCAGACAGCGTCATCTCCTGTCCGTGGGCAGAAACACACCCCATCCTCGTTGCTAGCCTGCGGATACGACTATAGTGCCAGTTACCGACCAGTATGATGCAACGAAGGATGACCTCTGAAGACTCACTCGCTGGCCTCTTCCGCAGCTGAGGCGAACTGGAGCAGCGCTGCATGAGCATTTGGTTTGCTCTCTTCGCCGCCCTCCTGCACAACACTTTATCATTGCCAGGAACCAGAAGAGTGTAGTGAAGTTTTCCCGTGCATTTTGTGCTTCAAGCTGATGGGGCCTATCTAACTTGTGTATGTTCTTTCAAAGACAAGAAAACCCAATGGTCAGTGCCTTGACGTGAAGGGCTTGCCAAATTGCAAAGCAGCAACACGATCAGATATACGTTCTATGCGAGGCAGCAGCCAGTGCTTTTCGGAAATCATGTGACGATGTGTCTGAAGGTTTTCCTTTGGACACGAGGACGACTTACCTCGAGTTGAGATTGGTATGTCACATAAAGTCAATGTTTTCAACTTAAATCCAGCGGAGGATTGATTTTCTCTTCATGGCCAGCATTTCCTCACAATCCACTGCCCAGCTACACATGGATTAGTGCTCGGACGACGTGGATGG